TTCTGCTGATGAGACTAACATCTTGAAATAAATATTTATCTAAATGTCCATAGTCGAGTATTAACGAGAGTGGGATATCGTTAATGCATGTGAGACTAGTGTGTGTTGGATGTTTGACTTAGTCTCATAGTCAATGACGGTGTGTTCGCATCCGCACATGGGCAGATATTATCTAGAAATAATAGGATGCCGGACTGACCCATCCTAAAGATGTTGCTTGAACTTTTAGTTCATGCTCTAAGCATCTTTAGCGCGACCACGGGTGTAACTATCCTTCGACTTGAAGTATTACGTTTTCTGCATATGTGAACTCGCATACTTTGATGCATTGTCCTAAGCCATATGAAATAAGGATGGTATACAGGCTTTGTTTTGGGTATGCCGCAGCGCGTATTCAGAAACGTAGATTACGTACATAGGATTTGTCACTACTCTTTTAAAGAGATTAATGTCTTATGGGGCCCACTGATAAGACATGACTGAGGAAACTGCATGGCCATGCTGAGATGCTTTTATGACGTCTGTTCCTATTAGTCAGACTTGATAAATCAGTGAATGACTTAATGGATACAAGCTGGAGTTTATTAATCCCTTGCACTAAGTTTAGACATTGAGACAAAGGGATACAGTTACACGGAGTCTGGGTCGTGGAAAGGTTTTGACGGTGCAAACGTCTTAACTTATAATCTGGGGGCAATAATGTGTTGCTAGATACCGCTTATTGCTTAAAGTATTGGTGCAGAGCCAATACTGTGGCCAGTTTTATAAGTGCCTATACGGGTCACACACTTTGGACAATTTAAGGAGTAGGATTAAACAATGGGTTAATAAGTAATTTGTATATTTGTAGAAAATAGTAAAATAAAATATTTTGGAATATAATATTATATATATAAATATTCGGTTATATATATTATTTATATGTACCGATTAATGTATATATATTATATGTTGAATATTTTATTTTGGTTTGTCATTTTAATTATGAAAATAATTATTTTGACATAAACTATTTAAAGTATATTTGTATACTTGTTTAAAAATGATATTGGTATTTTTATTTGATTTAAAATTAATTTTATATTAATTTTTGGTGTCAAATAAAACACACTTTAAACATTTGAGTGGAGAAGAATTTCACAAATCCTTCTCATATCATTGTTCGGCCAAGTGGAGATTTTAAAGGATCAAATTTCCATGATTGAAATTAGTGGAGCTAATAATGTTTTAACCTTTAGCTTAATGACAAAGTATGATTAATCAATTTGTAATCTTTGTTTTTAAATAACACGGCAATTTCATTTTAAAGAGAGAGGATCATCAATTGATTAGTTTTGCATACTTTCGGCCATAATATTTTCTAGTGAGATAAAATATTATTTTGGTTCCACATATATCATTTTGTGTATAGAAAATATCTATAATATTTTCTAAATATTATTGGAAATATTTTCTATAGAAATATACAAGATTATTATTATCCCAAATTTTAATCTTTATATTTTATACTACTATAATCTTTACTAGCATAAAGATTGTGGTAGACTCCGGCGTTGTTCGTGTGTCAAAGTTGGAGACCGGACGCTTGAACGGTTACGTTTGCACTTTCAACGCTCTTCCTACGACTTCTTCGTTTTTACCGCTTACGGAGAGAGGTATAAATTTCTTACTCACTATAAGTTTTAGTACGTGATTCTGGGCAAGATAATCATGTTGGGATGTTAAAATTTTTATATTCCGCTGCCTATCCTTGCATGGTTACCTTTCAGAATGAACACAACTTACCTCAATATTTTTGGGGAGAAGCGGTCAACATGGCATGCTACGTTCTTAACCGGGTATTACTTAGACCTATCATTAAAAAGACTCTCTATGAACTTTGGAAAGGTAGAAAACCAAACATTTCCTATTTCAAAGTTTTCGGGTGTAAATGCTATATTTTGAATACCAAGGATCATTTAGGTAAATTTGAGCCTAAATCAAATGAAGGAATTTTTCTTGGTTATTCAACAAATAGTAGAGCCTATAGGGTATATAATAAATCAAATCATAAAGTAGAAGATCTATGCATGTAAAATTTGATGAAACTGATCCTTTTGGGACGAGTAAGGTAATTGCAGGTTCAAATGAAGAAGAAGAGGAAGAAGAAATCCTGGAAATTCCTGCGCAAGAAGAACAAAATGCAAAGAAGGAACTACCGAAAGCATACAAACACTTGAAGAATCATCCAAGAGACAATATCATTGGAGATATTGAAAAGGGAGTTAGAACTAGGAACAATTACAATCTTTGTGCACACTATGCGTTCGTTAGTCAATTTGAACCTAAGAATGTAGAAAATGCGCTAAAAGATAGTGATTTGATTATATCCATGCAACTAGAGCTTGAGCAATTTGAACGCAACAAGGTTTGGGAACTAGTCGAAAGACTGGAAAACCGACCCGTTGTGGGCACTATATGGGTCTTTAGAAACAAGCTTGATGAAAATGGTGTTATTATCACCAATAAAAGTCGACTTGTTGCTAAAGGCTATAGCCAAGTTGAAGGACTTGACTATGATGAAACTTTTGCTCCGTGTTGAGTCACAAAATGTCATATTTTATTCTCTCATTTTTTAGTACTTTTAAGATGTTTTATATGCATTTTACACTTAAATAAATATATGTTGTTACATTTAGCATTTTAGGCTATAATTTACATTTTATGCATAAAATGCAAGATTTTGAGCATATTTATATTGGGTTATTATTTTCCTTGATACTAATATTTTTTTACACAAAATAAAGGGAAAGAATAAAGTTGGGCATTGGAGCTCAAAGACAATGGAAGAAGAAATGAGATTGGGCCGAGCCCAAATATTAAATGGGTCCAACATCTAATTGACCTATTCATTAAAGTAAAACAAGGAAAAGAGAGAGGAAATAAAAAAGAGTTGTGGTGAAGTGAAGTCAGCCGCAAAAGAGGAAGAAATGCGCAGGACACTGAGAAGGAGAGTTTTAATTGAAGACAAAAACAAACACTAAATTCGTGGCTTATATAATGGAACACGGACGATCGAAGGGGAAGGAATCCGGAGAAGAGAGCAGAAAAATAGAGGTGAGCGGACCTAGGGTTCCGACCCTAGGTCCGGCTACGGTGGACCGGATTCCGGTGACGACTATGGCGAGGACACAGCAGGAACGTGGCGGCCATGGAGGGTGGTTTCAGCTCCGGCAATGCGCAAGCTTGGGATGGGCCTCTGCTCCTGGTTCCATCGACAAAGAGAGAAACGCAGGGGAGCACTCTTGTTTGTTTACTTTAGTTCTTAATGTTTTTAAATAGGATTTTAAATTTCTAAATTCTCCAATTGATGAATTTGATCTCCATATTAAATATATTTTATTTTCAAATCTTATTTTTGTGTTGAATGTTTAAGTTATATTATAAGTGTTGAATTGTTTGTGTTGATGTTGCATTGTTCAAATTTGGTTTATTGATTTTTTATTGTCTCTAAAATTATAAAATCTTCTTAGGCCGAATTGTTTGACAAAAAGATTGAATCTTTGTTTGTTGAATTAATTTGACTTTGAAGAGATTTTAGCTTTACGCTACTGTTAAAATCTAAACTCGAAAAGGTGTTCTGAGAACTATTATTCACTGATTTTTACTTAAATTGGACCAAATTAGGAACGTGCGCGTAATCCAGTTTAAAATGATACTCTTTTAAAGTCCAAAGTTCTTTAAATAGCCGAACTTTTCTAGAAACCAAGTGTCACTTGATTAGTACTTGCTGCCTCGTTAAGTAGTTTTTGCTAATCAAGGTTCTCGAACTGATTTTGTTAAATAACCGTAGTGTTACTGCAAAGTTGTTATGGTGATGTTTTCCACAAATCTTAATGCGCTATTTTTAGTAGTAACTTAAGGGTTGGTCTTTGGGTTGCTAAGGGTAGTAGGGTTTAGAGTTAGGGTTGATCTTAACATGAGCTAATATGAATGGGAAAATAGGGAAGAACCGTTGGTGGACCTCTTCTTCAGCCTAACCCTGAGTTTAATTAGCAGTTTAATTTCAGAATCAAGGCATAATTAATTAGTTAATCAACTTTGTTCAGTTTATTTTCAATTAAAAACTATAAGTATTTTCAAAATGGTTTAAGTTAATTATTACTCCGTATTATCTACGTTTTTATAAAGTTTAAATGTGTGTTTGTTTATGTGTTTGTTCCTCCCCGAGTGTCTTCTGAGTTCGAGTTGCTGACGTGGTTCCATCTTTTATTTGTTATCCTTTATCTTTTTTTTATTTGTCTGTTTTATTATCTTTTTAGAATTATCATTCAAACCCCCCCATATCTTTTAGTTTTAGTTTTAGATTCTAGTTAGTTTTTTATCAATAAAGTGACAAGTGAACTGATTTTCATAGCTTAAAAAGTATCTTTCCTCGTGGGATCGACCCTTACTTGCCCTATCTATATGTTTTAATTAATATTAATTCATAAAGGGGGTTAAGAGTTAAGGAAAATAATTAATTAATTTGTAGGTGCTACGACACGCCTAACACTCCGGTTGCTAGGCTTGAATCTATTCGTATGTTACGTTATTAGCTTTTGCAAGTGCTCTTAATTTCAAACTTTTTCAAATGGATGTTAAAAGTGCTTTTCTCAATGGATTGTTAAAAGAAGAAGTTTATGTTGAACAACCTCCCGGTTTTGAAAATCTTGATTTTCCAAATCATGTTTTTAAACTTCATAAGGCTCTTTATGGACTCAAACAAGCTCCTAGAGCTTGGTATGAGCGGCTTACCGAACATCTTATCTCACATGGATTTGCAAAAGGAAGGATCGATTCCACACTTTTTGTCAATACAAAAGGAAAAGATCTCATAATTGTGCAAATTTATGTTGTTGATATTATTTTTGGGTCAACTAATGAAGCCTTATGTAATGAATTTTCAGGAATTATGACAAGCGAATTTGAAATGAGCATGATGGGTGAGTTGAACTTCTTCCTTGGACTTCAAATTAAACAACTTGGAGATGGCATTTTCATTAGCCAAACCAAGTATGCAAAAGAATTAGTCAAGAAGTTCAACCTTGAAGATTCAAAAACATATCCGACTCCAATGAGCACATCTTTGAAGCTTGACAACGACGAAAGCGGAAAACCCGTAAATGAAAAGGTATATCAAGGTATGATTGGTAGTTTGCTTTATTTAACTGCATCTAGACCCGATATAATGTTTTCCGTTTGCCTTTGTGCACGTTTCCAATCATCACCCAAAAAATCACATCTTAATGCTGTCAAGCGAATAATTCGTTATGTCAAGGGAACCACCAATATGGGTTTATGGTATCCCAAGAATACGAATTTAAGTTTGATAGGTTTTAGTGATGCTGACTTTGGCGGGTGTCGAATTGATCGGAAAAGCACAAGTGGCACATGTCAATTCATAGGTCATGCACTAGTGTCTTGGTCATCTAAGAAACAACACTCCGTCGCCCTATCCACCGCCGAAGCGGAATATGTGGCTATGGGTAGTTGTGTTGCTCAAATTTTATGGATGATGCAAACACTTAGTGACTTCAATTTAAAATTTTCAAAAGTGCCTATTTTTTGTGATAATTCAAGTGCAATAAATATTTCCAAAAATCCTGTTTTACATTCTAGAACTAAACATATAGAAATAAGACATCATTTCATACGTGATCATGTTGCAAAGGGAGACATTCAAATTGAATATGTAAATACGCTTGAACAACGTGCCGACATTTTTACAAAACCATTGGATGAAAAACAATTTTTACATATTTGTCGGGAAATGGGAATGCTTGAATTAAAGTAAAATTTAAGGTTCTTATTATCCCATTATATCAAAAAAATAAATTGATCAAGTCCAAATGCTCAAAACACGCATCTAGAAGTCGAAACAAAACATTAAGCTCAGACACGGTACCCCTGACAGTACCAAGGTCCCGCCCTAAATAGGTACCGCCAGAGACGAATGGGATTTTGAAGCCGCTCGGTAGCTGGACACAGTATAGCGTACCGTAACACGGTACCAAAGTACCGTTAACACGGTACCTAGGTACCGACCGTCTCATCGGGTCAATCTTCATTAAAACCCTAGTTTTCATTCCATTCTTCCACTTTTGGTTCAACCAATTGCAGCGAGCTCTCTCCCGACGTCTCCTCCCGTTTCTCTTTCCCGTACGTCGTTTGTCTTTCCAAAGGTAATTCCTCATCCAAATTCTTCAATTTCTTCAAACATTAGGTTCAATTTCATCAAATATTCTCCTCAATTCGTGCTTTAGGTATAAATTTTCCCATTTTCGTCTAAATTCTACCAATTCTCAAAAATGAGTGAAATTGTTTCCAATGTTCAAACCAATGCTCAACCCGATGTTCAAGATGGGTTCAAGGCTTACGCCGACCCACATATCATTGAGGGGAGAACCCTAAAACAAGATGACATCCCGGTTCCCGTTCTTGAACTCATTCAAGAACAAGGTTGGAGTTTTTTTCTTCAACTCCAAGCCCCCGTTTACCCGGAACTTGTTCATCAATTCTATTCTTCTATGAAATACTATCCCGAAGACCCTTCCATTACCGCCGTAGTTCCCAGCAAATCCTTCAAATTCAACACCCAAAATCTTTCCGAATGGTTTCACCTAGGGCGTCAAGGAGTCTCCACCTGTTGCAAAAAGGGGTGGATCACCGACTCACGAGATTTTAACTCAGATTCTTTCCTCCGAGTGCTAAATAACATTGTCGTTGACCATGTCTTTGAGGACCCGCACTACTTTCTTCGTAGGCCAAATGTCCAAGACTTACCCGCAAATAGGTTCATCCTCCTCAAAATCCTCAAAGAAAATATCATCCCGGTCCTTAACAAAGATAAACAAGTTGGGGTTTATGAATGCACACTCCTATATTGCCTCCTCACTCACAAGAAAATCAATCTCCCTTCCATCATCCTAAAACACATGTACGAATGCTTCGGTCGCCAAAACAAACCCTACGGCATGCTTCTTACCCACATCTTTGCCAAGAGGGAAATTTTTGAGGTGCGCCCGTCCCGCGTCCGCTATCTTGACGCGGAGTGCCTTGGCTATTGTGGCCTTGTAAAGATTGGAGAGGAGTACTACATGAAGAAGGAGTTCCAAAATCTTGATGAGGCTACACGAGCAGAGTATGGCCCTCGACGATCTTTGTCCTCCTTGCCATCCACTTCACGAGCACCTCGTGCCGAAGCCGAAGAAAATGCCAACACGGATGTCCCCGTTCGTGCTCCTCGGGTCAAATGCTCAAAGTCAGCGTCTCTTGCTTCCTCGGCCTCTCTCATGCATCGTCACTCTCACATGGCTTCCACTTCCAAGAATCCCTTTAAGAAGTTCAAGAAATTCATCCTCAAGACCGTAGTGGCTCCGATGAAGAAACTTCAAGAAAGCCTCGATGACCTCTCAGATCGGATGAAGAAGATGGAGGACCGTGAGAATCGCCAAAAGCAAAATGAGGATCGTGCTTCTAGACGTCGTCGCTAAGTGTTGAGCATTTGACAATATGATCAAACATTATATATTTTTGCCTAAGTTTTTAAACTCCTTGTCATGTTTATGTTTCAAACTCTTATTTATGCACTTGTATGACTCAAACTCCTTTGTCATGATTATGCTTATGATTAACTTGCTTATGGCTTGATGATGCTTGATGATTATAATTGTTGCCGTGAATGCCTATGTGTTGAAACCCAGGTTTTTGGTACCCCGCCTTTTTGAATGTTGCCAAAAGGAGGAGAAATATTAGGCTTCATATGCATACATTTAGGGGGGTTTTTTGTCAAAATATCACGTGCATCAACTTAGGGGGAGTTTTAAAATCAATACATGCTTTTCACGATATGTTTGTGTGTGATTATTATATTTGAAAGTCTTATTTGTCAACATAAAAAAGGGGGAGATTGTTGGCCTTGAATGCCGTACCTCGTAACCGTTTTGATGTGCCAAATAAGTCTTCCAAATGCTACTAACATCATTTGCAGGAAGAAAACAAATGCCAAACCTCTATTAGCTTGTTTAGCATCAACGAGACATATTCCTACGAGTTTAGAAACTATTGTGTAAAGGTAATGATATTTTTTAATGATTTACTTATGCCTTTCACTCAAAAATTATTTTTAATATGTCAAATATATTCTTAGTTGGGGTTATTTTGAAAACGGAACACGAAAAATGAGTTTTGGAAAATTTACACAGGCCTAACGGTACCTGGCTAATGTGTACACGGCACCAGGGTACCGCCGGTAGCCAAGTGAATGTACCGCTGTACGCTTCACCCAAGGGTTACACGGTACCCCCTACTGTGTAACGGTACCTGGGTACCGGACGGTAGGCAGAGACGGTCAGCCACCCCCGTCCTAACCAGGTACCGCTAGAGGCGAACCAAACTTTTGGCCTGAACGGTACCCCCAAACGCTAGGCTGTACCGTGGTCACGGTACCTAGGTACCGGACGGTACTGACCCTACCGTGAAGGATACCGGATCCGTTGTAATCACTGTAGCAAATTGCCAATTTAAATTCAAATCACCCCTAATCACTTCCTAAGGGTATTTAAGGTTAAAAACTCATATTTTAACATTCCAAACTCCTATATAAACCCCCTCTAAGTCTCATTTTAATCACAACAACTTCCCAATATTAAATCTAAAGCCTCTCTCTCTATTCTTGAGTGTTCCTAAAAGCTTTGTTCTTATTTTTCTTACTCTTTGGAGTATATAAAGCTTTCATTATTTTTATACACTCACACACAAGGGCATTTGTGCTTCATTATTTTATATCTTGCCTATAGGCTTTTGTTGTTGTTGATTTAATTTTTTTGTTCTTCTCCTACCCAATTCATATTTGTTATTATTTTGGTAGAGAAGTAACACCAATCTTTTATTGATTTGTAAAAGGTGTGGATAGCCTTTAAATTCTCATTGTAAGGTTGAAGATAACCTTAAAATCTTTAGTTGTAAACGGTTGAGATAGCCGTAGTAAAATCTCATTTGCTTATTGGCAAGGGTTGTTTGCCAAACCTCGTTTGAGTCTTCTTAGTCAAGCCAAACAAGTTAGTGGAGGTTAAATACTTGAGGAGGAGCCTCGAGGTACTGGAGTAGGGAGTTCCCGAACGAGTATAAAATTGCTTGTGTCGTATTTTTATCTTTTATATTTTTCTTGCTCTTTTTCCGCTACTACTTTGTGCATAAGTTTTAGTTTTTACGAAAAACTTGAAAACAGCCTAATTCACCCCCTCTTAGGGTGTAAATCGACTTTCATTCTTGTCAATACTTCGCATCCAAGTCACATCGTGATGCGAGTTCAATCTTTCGGATGGGGTGTCTTTGTGAAGTTGCATCACGCACATTCATTGTGTTCGTGTTTGCTTCAGCTTCATACCCTCGACGGGTCGTGCTTGGCCAGTGTACTCAATGTAGTTTAGTGTTCAGATTATCGTGTCTTACTCCTTTCAAGCGATATGTAGGGATATCATAATTTCACGTTCTTGGCGGGCATTTAGAGGTTCTTCCCCAAGTTTTAGGTGGCATTCCAATTTGTGACACGACATTAATAATAGCGTATTCGATATTAAGTGCATTCATCGACCTCGGAGTAGGTTCACTCTTCAGGAGTCGTAACCTAGAATCTTCAAACGGCATAGTCGAGATTACATTGATTCGTTCTTGATTCATTAAAGTTATTTTTCCAACAATTCTCTGGGTCATACTAACGAGAGTAAGTGAGCGTTCTACTAACGTCACCACTATCGCTATCGATGTCATCAAAACCTGCTAATTAGACTTGTCACGGATCAGGAGCCCTTCGACAATGGATGTGCTAATGGCCAAACACACTTCCACGTGTCAACGCCGTAACTTCTTTTGAGACCGCTTCATTTGTTTTATCTTGTCGGTCAGGGTACGTCGGCATGTAACGTCTTGCGATATAGATTATTCATTACATTCTTTTGATTTGTATCCCGTCACATCACTACACTATGATGTGTTGGGAGTAAATACTACCTTCTTTAATATTCAAACAAGTTCTTCTTGTCTTCTATACGATCATTCCCATTTGATACCAAAATAAGACTCACTCATCCATCCAGGTCTGCAGCCCCTTCAGAATTTGGTTATCCATTTCGGTGATCAAATGAGATAATTGAATATTAGACAAGATATTTTAATATGTGTACATTGTTACACTCTTTTCTTTTGTTACTTATCACCTTAAAACTTTAGCAGCTCAATTTCAAAAGTAACTTCTTACTTTGACAATTTTTTTCTTGAAGTCGCCTACGCCTTGAGTTAGCACGTGACGCATGATTTTCTTTTAATAACACGATCACACTAGTCTTTATGAATAATTATGAATTCTTCTTCCATAATTTACTTCTTCGGGTTTCACTACATATTTGTTTCCATAACCAACATTTTTTTTAATTTAATTTTTTTTCCAATCTTCTTCTACTTATGTTCCCCTTTTTTTTTTGGAAACTTTTTTTGAACCACATGTTAGTTAACAAACAAAACCACAAATAATTAAGACAACAATTTGACAAAAGCACATAATAAGGATTCAGAGTTACCTCCTGGAGTAGTGACATCGCAAAGCTGTGGATGACCCCTTTTCTCCTCTTTTTTTTGAAAATTAACAACACTTTTTTTTCAAAAGCTTACAAATTTTTTTTTATGAAAGTGTAGAACATTTTTTTTACGAAAGCGTACAACATTTTTTTTCAAAATGTACAACATTTTTTTACGATAGAAAAATATATATTTAACTATATTTTTTGAAAATATATGTTTAATTATTTTGGAAAAGAATCACTTTTAAAACCACTTTCTCTGATACCAAAATGTGACACACCAACTCGCGTAACCCGAACCAAAGAGTAAACGAATCGGGTAGCTACTAAATTGATATTCACAACACAATAATTTAGATAAATTATTCAAAAACATCCAGACACCCAGTTAATTACGAAAAGTTCAGAGTAAAGTCTACCAAGTGCGGAAGTCTCAGAATAACGTTCTACAATAAATGTTTAACCCAAATAATTAATTAACGCAATAACTAAATGGCTTCATCCACGACATCACGCCTCAACGTCCTCCAGGCTGTCCCTCCTGATCCAAAACCCTACCTGTGTGCAGTCAAAGACAACAAGACTACACGCTCAGCTAAAAGATGAGTGAGAGAAATATCTAACGCTAGAATTAATTTCACAGATAGTATCATATTTATATAATCAGCAATCTCGGTGAATGATCAACATTTGCTTTTAGTTAAAAGAATCCAACAGTACCAATTCATTTATTCGCAATGGGCTAGCTCTGTCCCTACAACACTAAGGCTAATTTCAACAGACTAGAGTTACGGACACTCGAGCGGATCCCTCGAGGCTGATGCTCGGACAAACCCAAAGAGAATCCTCAATGGGCGGGTGTTGGAGACTTGTCGTGCGGTCCAAAACAAATTAAAAATTTATAAAATATCCTTAAGTAACCCCCAAAATATAATCAAACAAAAACTATAGCTAGGGCAAGTAAGGGTCGATCCCACGAAGAAAATTTGTACTTTTGAAATCAAAATAGCATGCAAACACGTTGTCACGAAATTAAATAAAAAAACTACTACACATATAATAAGAACTTATAAAACTTATAACTAAAAACATATAAATATAACTCATATAAACAAAGAACTTATAATATAACTTATAAACATAAAACATATACTTAAGATATACTAAAAAAATATAAAAACTTATATTTATAACTTAAAACACAAAAAGGGGGGGGGTGTTGGATGAAAAGTAAGTATTTTTTGGTTATTTATATTTTTCTTATTTTTTTTTTGGTTTTTTTTGATAAAATGGGGGAAAAATGCTCAAAAGATAATCAACTCCTCCAACAAAGGTAACCCGAGAAACACCGCCAAGAACCCGAAACGAAATTAAAAAGAGAACAAACACAAGTCAAACATTACACGTATAATAGGCACGTAGACAATATATTACATAACTTACGCACTTAAAAATAGAAAAGAATTCAAAGGCTCGAGTTGATTCATATCCTTGACCACATACAGAGGATCGTCAACTCTCTATAAGGCCCGGAGTCAAAGATTCAAAGGCCTTTTGGTTACTTTGAACCCCCACTCACCTCAAGCGCTCAAATAATGATTCCAAAAGATGAAAAAGTTTATAAAAGAGCGAATCTTTCTTTCATTCTAACTCCCATGCACAAAGTATTCATGAAGAACATTTGATACACTTTACTAACCTTTAACGTCTAATGATGAAAATATTTTGCAGGTCTCCTTGAACTACTCAAGCATAAGAATTGTAATCTATTCACATAAAAGAAAAACATTACATATTTTCATTAAATCAAGAGTTGTTTATTGCGCTTAAACAATCCCAATTTTTATGAAAATAACAAACAAGAACACCAAGACATAAACAATAACTCTATAACGAATCTTAAGGAAAACGTTCAACTTATGTAGCTAAGAAGATCATTTACCTTAAAATTTTACAAAACACAAGTCACAAAAAAGAATTCACGTATGAATTCGAAAATCACTTAACTAAAATATGTAGCTAAATTAGCTTCAATGATAACCGAATTCGACATACCAACCTACTTATGAAATCAAATTTATAATTCAACCAATTTAACATCAATTTGCGCAAAAATTGAAGAAAACTAATATGAATCAATTTTTATTCATAAGGGATTTAATATAAACAAAAAGAACCCATAAAAGAAACCAACCATTTTGTTATAAAATTTTTGGAACAAACTAACAAACAAAAAATGTAAAATTAAACTAAAAACAACACTTACATAGAATTGGAGGAAAAAAAATAAAAATTGACAAATAAGGGTTACCAAATGTTGAAGAAGATGAAGAAATTGAGGAATTGGAGCTTGAAGGGACCGCCTGACCTATCACCGCCGACCATCGTCGAACGCCGGCGAGCCGTCGTTGGCCGCCGTCTGCTTTCTTCTCCGGTGGCGTCAATTGCAGCGGCCAAAGCCGCTGCTCTCTTTCTTGTTTGGTGCGATGCCTCTCTGTTGTTCCCCCCTCAATCTGCTGCGATTCCTTGCCCAATTTATAGACTGGAGGCCTCTTCCCGTTGTTGATTTAAGAGATCAAGGCACCGTTGTTGACTCGGTTTGGAGCGGAATTGATGGCCGAATGTTAGAGCATTTGATTTGAGGAATTGAAGTCGCCGTTCGGTTACTCATCGATTTTGAATAGATTTGAATGATTCACCGCTGACTCCATCAATTCTTTGGTGAGAGAGTGAAGTGGAATTGGCTACAAAGCTACTTGCTTCGCTCCTCTGTGAACGTCAATGGATTGGGACTGGGCTGCTGTGAGAACGTACTAGGCTTTGGAAAGATGATTATTGGGCTCCCAAGTTGTCCCTTTTCACTGCTATTTGGAATTGGGGCTGGTCAAAAATTCCCTTTGAGACTTGGACTCAGATTTATCCTTTTTACTGCACCGTGCTCAAAAAATATCTGATAATTTGGGTTAGGGAAAGCAAAATATATTAAAATAATATGTAAAAAAAATGATTAAAAACAACTATTTTTGAATGAAAATAAAAGGTTTGTAAAAAATAGGAATTAAAATAAAACTAAGCTAAACAAATGAAAATTAAACAATAAAAATACTAAAAATACCCAAAAAAAAATAAAATATACTAACCCAAACCCGAGTTATCAAATACCCCCACACTTAAGACTTGAACGCCCTCGTTCAAAGGCCAAAATAAGTATGTTATTTCTTTTTATCATCATCAAGAAGAAACGAAGTGAACCTTAAACACCCACACTTAAGACTTTATGCTCATTCACATTTTAAAAACAAAGTGAGCTAGAAATCCTACAAGGATGGAAAACTAAGGTGTGGATTTTTTTGGGTTCTAAGAAATGCTCTAAAGCTGCTACAAAAAAGTCTCCTAGCAGAATCCTATGGTTTAGAATGGCTCAATAGCAGCGGTAGCAAGGTTCATCAATAAGCCTAAGAATATAAAAATCACTCAATTTTCTAAAAATAAAAGGCTCCTAAAACTGGATTCTCTCTTTTTTCAAATTTTAATATCAAGCAATTGTTGATTAGGCAGCATCTAGATAGTATGTGGATGGCCAGTTCTAGAAAACAAAATTCTATGGTAACCTAGAAGGATTTCAAACATTTTAAGGTCATTTTTACCAATAAAAGAGCATAAGACTCAATGCGGGTTTAAAAAGTATACCCTTGCCATCTTTCAGAATAAAGCCCCAAGAAAAATAATGAGGTTTTTGGGTCAATTTTTGAAAACAATGCTCTAAATAAGAAGATATGCAACTAAGAATGAAAAACATTTGGACCCAAAACCTTTTTTTTTTTGGAAAAAAAAAAATTGCCCCAAAAGTTTTTTTAAGCAATGACACAAGCATGAGCAACTCCCCCCACACTTAAAATGTGCATAGTCCCCAATGCATCTATATGGTATGCAAATGGCAATATTAAGCAAGCACGGACTTAGCAAAGAGAGAAGGGAATTGGGGAATTCAACAAAAAAAGTATACACAGCATCAATTCATCATTCCCCGTTCCTTATCATGCTTTTGTTGGACTTAAAAATCTGCAAAAAGAAGGCTAACACCAAGTTTTTTAGCATTGAAGAACATAAAAATCAGATTTAAAGAATGTATATTTTAAGCTTCAAATTTGGTTCTGGAAACCAATTCTTGTGCCTTTTTGCACTTTCAAAACATAATACTGCATATGAGAAGGTAAAGTCATATCAAGTACATGCAAAGCAGCTCATATACATCTAATAACATCATATTGCAGCTTAGATGCATCAACTGATCTCAGAATTCAGATTGAACACCAAGAAAAGAGTGCAGATATTTATATATTTCAGCATGTATAAGCTGTAAAAAGTGTAAAATTTTCATTTTGCACTCAAAAAATCAGCTTACAAGTCCAAAAATAACTTTTCAAAATGCAAAACTTTTCATTAGTATCCGAAAATCAGTTGTAAACAATGCACATGTCTCAGCCTTCAGCTTAAATATGTCCATATAATAGCACTTCAAGAAACAGAAAATTGACAGTATACCAATATCCGGGCACCAAGAATCACTGTTTCAAAAGAGATTTGCACCCAACCGTGCAGAATTTTACTCCAAACACTTATGCTTCCACCTAAAACTCAACAAATCTTGCAAAAAGCTCTCAAAGTAGATGGTTAGAAGCATAAATAAGTAAAAATATTTAAAATCAAGCAACATACTTTTTTCACTTTTTTTTTGTGTTTTACAAAAATAAAATGAAAGAGAAAAAGGAAAAAACTAATCCTATAATTACAACAAGTACTATTACATCAATATGGAAGAAAAGTTGGTTCTTAAAAGAAATAAAATCAAATTAATAACCACAAAAAAAAAAGTTAAGTACAACAACAAGAAGTTAAAGAAAAATAGAAAAAAGGAAAAAAAAATGCAATCAATAACTATAAGAGAAAAAGTACAACAATAACGAGAAATTATAAGTAAAAAAAAGAGTTTTTTTTAGAAAGATAAAAAAACTTAAAAATAAGGTGGGTTGCCTCCCACAAGCCGCCCGATTTAAAGTCTTTGGCTAGACACAGTTTACTACTTGCCAATACATATTCACTTAAGTCATGAAGTAGTAAAGTAAATATGTTTCTTTAAAACATATAAAGATTAAAAATCAATATATGCATTTAGAAATGATCTTTTATTTTCAATCTCTTATCAAGTATAGCACTTAATGCTCCATTGAAAAACAAATATAACATTCTAGATGCAAAATAAAATAGAGAACAGGTTTCTGGTCAGATTCCTTTGCATTTTTGCTGTGCTATTAGAGCAAAATTCAGCATATAAAGAATGATCACACATATTGAAAAGGTCATGCTAAGTGCTCTCTCAAATTAGTTCATATGCAAGCTCTTAATGTTAAGTAAATAAGCATTTTAAGAACTTAAAGTAGCATGTATATGAGTAAAACATTGCAGATTTTTTTCAACAGAATGAGCACTTCAGGGCAGATTTTTCATATTAAGCTCTGAAAACATAAAAAACTGCAATATAAACCTCATGATATGTTTTTAAAAGTGCCCCAAAACAAGATATATCAATCACAGTTCAAATTTGAAGCAAAGAAGCACTCCAAGGGACAAAAATCAACACAAAAAGAAAGCCTAGAAGTGCATATTTTTAAAAAACAGCATATTAAGCCCAAGAAATTCAGCAAACTTATCATTCAAGGCTTATATAATCAGTACATACATGCTGCACATATAAGATTATGGAACAAAAAAGCACATATATCATTGAAATGCAGCATATATGATATGCAGAAACAAAAATCAGCAAGAATAGATGAAGAAAAAGATCTCAAAATGCAGTTTTGATGAAAAATAGTACTAAAATTTCATAAAAACCGCAAATGGAGCATAAATTTCAACAACCAAAAAAAAACATGCTAATTTCAATTTCTTCGAACACGAATAACCTCAACTCTAAACATTTAACATGCACATAAGTCTTGAACACAAGAAAAGAGGTTATTTGTTCAACAAAGCAGAAGAAGAGAATACATGCTAAAAAAGATTTCATACAAAACTTTCCCCGGCAACGGCGCCAAAATTTGTTGGAGACTTGTCGTGCGGTCCAAAACAAATTAAAAATTTATAAAATATCCTTAACTAACCCCCAAAATATAATCAAACAAAAACTATAGCTAGGGCAAGTAAGGGTCGATCCCACGAAGAAAATTTGTACTTTTGAAATCAAAATAGCATGCAAACACGTTGTCACGAAATTAAATAAAAAAACTACTACACATATAATAAGAACTTATAAAACTTATAATAAAACTTATAACTAAAAACATATAAATATAACTTATATAAACAAAGAACTTATAATATAACTTATAAACATAAAACATATACTTAAGATATACTAAAAAAATATAAAAACTTATATTTATAACTTAAAACACAAAAAAAGGGGGGGGGTTGGATGAAAAGTAAGTATTTTTTGGTTATTTATATTTTTCTTATTTTTTTTTTTTTGGTTTTTTTTGATAAAATGGGGGAAAAATGCTCAAAAGATAATCAACTCCTCCAACAAAGGTAACCCGAGAAACACCGCCAAGAACCCGAAACGAAATTAAAAAGAGAACAAACACAAGTCAAACATTACACGTATTATAGGCACGTAGACAATATATTACATAACTTACGCACTTAAAAATAGAAAAGAATTCAAAGGCTCGAGTTGATTCATATCCTTGACCACATATAGAGGATCGTCCCCGGAGTCAAAGATTCAAAGGCCTTTTGGTTACTTTGAACCCCCACTCACCTCAAGCGCTCAAATAATGATTCCAAAAGATGAAAAAGTTTATAAAAGAGCGAATCTTTCTTTCATTCTAACTCCCATGCACAAAGTATTCATGAAGAACATTTGATACACTTTAATAACCTTTAACGTCTAATGATGAAAATATTTTGCAGGTCTCCTTGAACTACTCAAGCATAAGAATTGTAATCTATTCACATAAAAGAAAAACATTACATATTTTCATTAAATCAAGAGTTGTTTATTGCGCTTAAACAATCCCAATTTTTATGAAAATAACAAACAAGAACACCAAGACATAAACAATCACTCTATAACGAATCTTAAGGAAAACGTTCAACTTATGTGGCTAAGAAGATCATTTACCTTAAAATTTTACAAAACACAAGTCACAAAAAAGAATTCACGTATGAATTCGAAAATCACTTAACTAAAATATGTAGCTAAATTAGCTTCAATGATAACCGAATTCGACATACCAACCTACTTATGAAATCAAATTTATAATTCAACCAATTTAACATCAATTTGCGCAAAAATTGAAGAAAACTAGTATGAATCAATTTTTATTGATAAGGGATTTAATATAAACAAAAAAAACCCATAAAAGAACACCAACCATTTTGTTATAAAATTTTTGGAACAAACTAACAAACAAAAAATGTAAAATTAAACTAAAAACAACACTTTTACAAAGAATTGGAGGAAAAAAAAAAAAAAATTGACAAATAAGGGTTACCAAATGTTGAAGAAGATGAAGAAATTGAGGAATTGGAGCTTGAAGGGACCGCCTGACCTATCACCGCCGACCATCGTCGAACGCCGGCGAGCCGTCGTTGGCCGCCGTCTGCTTTCTTCTCCGGTGGCGTCAATTGCAGCGGCCAAAGCCGCTGCTCTCTTTCTTGTTTGGTGCGATGCCTCTCTGTTGTTCCCCCCTCAATCTGCTGTGATTCCTTGCCCAATTTATAGACTGGAGGCCTCTTCCCGTTGTTGATTTAAGAGATCAAGGCACCGTTGTTGACTCGGTTTGGAGCGGAATTGATGGCCGAACGTTAGAGCATTTGATTTGAGGAATTGAAGTCGCCGTTCGGTTACTCATCGATTTTGAATAGATTTGAATGATTCACCGCTGACTCCATCAATTCTTTGGTGAGAGAGTGAAGTGGAATTGGCTACAAAGCTACTTGCTTCGCTCCTCTGTGAACGTCAATGGATTGGGACTGGGCTGCTGTGAGAACGTACTAGGCTTTGGAAAGATGATTATTGGGCTCCCAAGTTGTCCCTTTTCACTGCTATTTGGAATTGGGGCTGGTCAAAAATTCCCTTTGAGACTTGGACTCAGATTTATCCTTTTTACTGCACCGTGCTCAAAAAATATCTGATAATTTGGGTTAGGGAAAGCAAAATATATTAAAATAATAACATGTAAAAAAATGATTAAAAACAACTATTTTTGAATGAAAATAAAAGGTTTGTAAAAAATAGGAATTAAAATAAAACTAAGCTAAACAAATGAAAATTAAACAATAAAAATACTAAAAATACCCAAAAAAAGAATAAAATATACTAACCCAAACCCGAGTTATCAAGTTGGAGTCTCTACCGCGGAATCCCTTAGGTAGAACAGTGACTCCCCTATGTACGTTTTGAACCCTGGACCACTGGATATGCAAACATGCTCCACAAGGCCCGAACCTAACAACAGTCCTATTGTGATTAAACTATCCAATTAAGTTCAGATCTGCCTAGGTATACTAGGTAGCCAATTTTCAACAGAGTTCTCAAGTGATAACAATCACTTAAACATTTCCATAAACAGAACAACACACTCAGCGGTCTATCGGAAGAATCACTTCTCAATTATTACCGTCATGCTCAAACAACATTAAACCCAACAATATTAAAATAGCTTACCTGTGTCGCGAACCCGGGTCTAAGGACTTGTCCTCAGGTCCGCTGCACCCACTGGAACAATATCAACTACCACCGGATCAGCCCGAAAACCTGCCGGACCGACCCGACGGCCCAGAAATCAACAACCCACACTCTTCAAGCGGCTGCCCACCGCCCGGAACCCGGCCCAAATCGGCCAAAACGGCCCAAACGACAAATTCGGGCAGCCCCACGACCAACACGAGCAGCCCAATCCACCCAAACACCCCCAATTGCATCCATAAGAACCCAAATCAATCCAATTCCATCTAATTCAACCAAAATCAACTCAATCGCATCCAATTGAACCGAAATTTCACCCAATACTGTTCAAACAACCCAAATGGGACCCAATTGACCTAATTTACCAAAATTGGACCCAACCGACCCGACTTGAACCCAACGGAACCAACCCAGTGGCCCACAGCCTTGGTCGCCTCCCCTTGCGGCGTATCACCGGGACTCGCTGGAGGACAGCCGGAATTCCAAGCCCAATCTCATACCAACAATCAATTCCTCCAATTTCACAACCAATTGAAAGAATTCATACAAATAAGATTCTAATCTACGAATTAAAGCTAGCGATAGATATTCGAGCAACAATTCACCTCAAATTGAAGAGTCCAAACCCAATTCGGAAGAGAGAAGCTCGCCGCTGCAACTCCCTGGACGGCCGAACTTGCTGCGCGACAGAAAGAGGAAGGACGGTCGGCGACGGCGACCGTAGCGTCCAGGTGGCTCGGCGATGGCGGCGAAGCTCTGCTCTCCCTGGCTGACGTAACGACGGACAGAAATGAGGCAGGGGAGTCGAACGGAAAACGGGCAGGACAAGAGAGAGATATACAGTGCCCGTAACCCCCATCCTGACCTCCTTCTATTTAATATAGAAATTAATTAAATTTTAGGGTCCAGTTTAAACTTTTTAAGGATAGATTTAAGGCCAATTATATTATTCGGAAGTCTTATTTTGGGCCCTAAGTCTCATTCTCAATCCGTTTGCGCGATCGGGTTCAGAATATCAAAGTCCTACAGCCTTGGTCGCCTCCCCTTGCGGCGTATCGCCTGTGACTCGCTGGAGGACAACCGGAATTCCAAGCCCAATCTCATCCCAACAATCAATTCTTCCAATTTCACAACCAATTGCAAGAATTCATACAAATAAGATTCTAATCTACGAATTAAAGCTAGCGATAGATATTCGAGCAACGATTCACCTAAAATTGAAGAGTCCAAATCCAATTCGGAAGAGAGAAGCTCGCCGCTGCAACTCCCTGGACGGCCTAACTTGCTGCGCGACGGAAAGAGGAAGGACGGTCGGCGACGGCGACCGTAGCGTCCAGGCGGCTCGGCGATGGCGGCGAAGCTCTGCTCTCCCTGGCTGACGGAACGACGGACGGAAATGAGGCAGGGGAGTCGAACGGGAAACGGGCAGGACAAGAGAGATATATACAGTGCCTGTAACCCCCATCCTGACCTCCTTCTATTTAATATAGAAATTAATTAAATTTTAGGGTCCAGTTTATACTTTTTAACCAGTTAGGATAGATTTAAGGCCAATTATATTATTCGGAAGTCGTATCTTGGGCCCAGTAAGTCTGATTCTCAATCCGTTTGCGTGGTCGGGTTCAGAACAGCGAGCCCTACATCGTAAGTTAATTCTCACATTAAATAAACAAACTAAAAAAAATAACCTTCATATGGACCGACCCTGTAATTAATTAATTATATAAATTAATTAAAAATACTAAGCCGGGTTTCGGGGCGTTACATTAAGCTTAAATTCAAACTCTTTTGCATAGTGCATTTCTTTAAAAAACTGCATTCTGACCTTTCTAAAAAAATACAGCCTCTATTAAGTCTCAAAGAGCAGATTTTTTTTAAAGAAAAAAAAAAAAAATTGGACTCTTCATGCCTGACCAATTCTAAAGTGAGTGTTTGTATCGTTTAAGAGAAAAAAAATACTTGATCAGAGCGTGAGTTGTGTGAACTTTTGAGCTTTCTACTCTCTGGGATTGCATGATTTGTGTTAAAGCTTCTTATTGGCTCAAAATTTTAGGAGTTTTAATTAAATTTCTCACATCAATAGTCCGATTTTTTTAATTGAAAAAGATTTGTCTAACCATCCAATTATATAGGTTGTTCAATCTTTAATTGTTTAATCAGGTTGAATGCTCCTTATTTAATAATTTTCCCCTCCTGTTTAGTGACATAGTCAATTTTTTGGTCTAAATAACATTCATGCACTATTACTATCAAAAGGATTTGCCTTCTATCTTCTAGCCATCTTCTTATCTCTATACACTAAATCTCTGAGTAATATCTTAAGGATGGTAAGAATTGGCTAGCACTGGTAAAGTAGTTCTTCTAGAGGTTCTGTCTTTGAATGGTTTTTGATTGATTTAGTTGAGGTCTGATACAACAGTGATAGCCAAGGTTGGACATGGACTTGTGTCCGTGCTAGCTTGTTATGCATGCACTACCGTTGGGGGGGGGCTAGTATCACATCATTAAACAACACCGATGGATACGCAAGCTCGTGCATGTATAGCTTGGTAGCACATTTGCCAAAAAAAAAGAATAAAAAATCTTTAAAAAAAGTATTTCATTGAATAAATCCGAACTGGCCTGGGGACATTTAGCCGCATTGCCTGTGCAACGAAGCATGCCTTAATGTAGGATTTAGCCAAGTTCTGCACCATGTTCGGCCAAACAACGCTTGAGTAAGAAAGTGATGACTTCCTAAATTCATCACTAACTCCTTTTCTTTTTCTTTTTACTAGCTACTCTATTTAACTCTAGCTGATTTTTTCATCCTCAAGGGACTTATTCAAAGACACTTCTTCTTCTTTTCTTTAAGACCTTGAAAGAATAGTTTCATTGAATGTTATTTAGGACTGATCTTTGGTTATGTTACTGACTAGGGACAGGATTACTTTTAAATCAGGGAGCAATCTAAATGATTTAACAAGTCTGGCTTGTATAACTCTTCTAATTGAATGTTTAAATAAATTTCTCTTAAGTTAATGGTTTTGCTATTCTTGTTAGAACTTTAAGGAAGATTCGGTGTCAAGTTGAGTCAATATTAAGTTTTGATAGGGTCATACACCTCCAGCAATTCAGTTTTGAAAGAGTAAATTCCATAATTGATCCTTTATAACATGGGGTTTCCCTATTTAGTCCTCTATTATCAAATATTACCACAGTGGTCCTTCCTTTATGGGTATCTTTCCACAAATAGTCCTTTTTTGGTCTTTTATCATGTTGGTGTTAATTTGAGAGCTAAAATTATAATTTTACAATGATAATATATCTTTTTTGTCATATACAATTCCAAAGATTGTTCCGTTTGCGTCGTTTGTAAATTACATTCGCTTTCTACTACAATAATAGTCTACGAATGTGGTCTTCAGTCAGAATCCTGACCCACAATCATTGTCATTATTTTTGTGTTATCCGCTTAACCAATATCAGAACACGTCACTAGACATAATGCTGATGTCAAATTATACTTTTAGCCTTTAAATTAACACCCACATGGCGAGAGATCAAAAAAGGACCATTTGTGGAAAGGCACCCTTAAAAAAAGGACTACGAGATGACAAAGGAATGTGAAAGCGATCCAGTTGGGCGCGCTCTACCCCAACTTATGGTGACAAAGGAATAATCCAGGCCCGAGATGACAAAACACAAAAGCCCACCTCCAATACACACAAGAAGTTTGAGAGAAACTGCGTAAAGAGAGAGTGTAACACTCCACCCTGAGTGACCCGAATCACCGAGACCGAAGCGCTAGCAAAACTTGATTTACTTAGTAAAACATTTATTTATTTGGAATTAGTTCTCATTTTAATAATTAGAGAGTTGAATGATTAATATTTGAAAAAAACTTAAAATAAAAAAGCTTGAGAGTAAATGCAATTTAGTGTTCAAGACCAAACCAACATAGAGTAAGTTCAATAGCTTATTCATTATTAAAAATAATTAAAGCAGCGTTCTTTTATCGGCACGGCCTCCACGTCTATCCTTTCTCTCCTTAGCAGTTGTTCCCTTTACTGGTACCTGCGTGCAGTTAAACACCACACGCTCAACATAAAGTTGAGTGGCAAATAACCAATAGACATATATGACATGCAAATACATTTTAGGGCATTTTAAGTTATTTAATTCCAATGTTTTTCACATACTTAAATCATGGAGAAAATAACCTCAATTTAGTAATTACTTCGGAATATTTAGAAAAAATACTAGACTTTTTCATTTTTGGGTTAACCTTATATTAGAGATTAGGATGACATGACTAGGCTGGAACACCGCACTAGTCGATTCGTAGTTTTACTTCGGATATCTCCCCATGACCTCGGGTCCAGTAATCAGAAGTGAACCCTAGACCCACGGTGTCATCGTTGGGTGCGCATGTTGTGGTATGATTATTTGTAGGTTCATCCACTTGGACACATAAGATCCGGCCTTATAACGTGTGGTTTGACCCACTTGGTAAAACATGACAATACCTTGTCAGGGTACGACATTAAAAGAAACTTTAAAATTTTACCTCGTCCACTTGTGGTTTGGTTAACCATAGTATGATCATTTTAAAGAAACTTTGACGTCTTGAATCATAAGTTATTTTGAATTCATTTGACAAAATACGTCCCCTTGGATACCAAACATTCTATTTATAAATTCTTTTGCCAACCGAAATATTTTATTTAGGTAGATGAAATATTTTTTTTACATCTGGAACCATATGTGAATACATAGATAAATAGATTATTTATGTTACTTATTTTGCTTTCCTTATCTCAATTTGTATCAAAAGACTTCATTTATTTATTTATTTCCAATTTATTTATTATGCCCTGATTTTCTTGAATATATATAAAAACTAACAACACTATAATTCCTTCGAAAAAATAAATTTCACTACAACCTTACATAATAATAATAGTAAAAATAATAAATATAATAATAATAATAATAACCATCATCATCATTTGTTGCTACGGTAATCTCAGGCCAATAAAAAAACATAATTAAGTTTCATTATATTTCTACTATCTTTACTGTCATCAATTTATTTCTTATTCGGCCAAGACAAAGAAGTTACCCTTTTGTATAACTTGATTGTTTTTTTTAACCAAGACAGAAAGGAGTTGAAGTAAAACTTCAACGTCAGTAATTTTTCGTTTTTTTAAACGCCCTAACTTTTAGTATGTACATGAAAACTTAATTTCCTCTATAGTTTATTTGGTTTTTTTATAAAAAATATTCGATTTAAATTATTTTTTATTAAAACATACATAAAAATATATCAACATGAAACATATGGTTAAAGGTTAGGGTCAACGGGCACACCTTCTGTGTCGTCAATTTAAATAAAACGATATCTTGACCACGTTGACAGTATGATTTCGTGACAAGTCTCCCACGTCGATCTCTCTCCCCTTCGGCAATACCGCAAATCACTCTTATAATTAAGCTCACACATTCTCTAGATATATTTTTATCTTCCCCTCAAGTGTCATATGTCTCTCTTCCTAAGAGACTCTTTTTATAGGGAGGGAAGAAAGGTCTAGAAGGTGGAGAGGAAAAGATGGGTTGAGGTTTTAATTAATTAAGTAAATGTTACGGAGTAATTTTTTTATAAGAATATACTTTTAAATTATTAAATTAAATTCATTTCTACCATTAAGATGGTGCATGCATGGGGAATGTCCTTTGGTTTGAAAGTGGCGTGTTGGTGGAGTGGGAAAACCAAAGGTTTTCCTGCTCCGTTTGTTTAGTAATATGTGTCTGATTTTTACAGTTTCAATTTAAATTCATTTCTACCATTAAGATGGTGCATGCATGGGGAATGTCCTTTGGTTTGAAAGTGGCGTGTTGGTGGAGTGGGAAAACCAAAGGTTTTTCTGCTCCGTTTGTTTAGTAATATGTATCTGATTTTTACAGTTTCAATTTTCAATATTTTTAGAAAAAAATATAAAACTTATATTCTTGAGTTCTATATTTTTTGTACATTATTTTAACATAATTTATTTATCAAGAAACTAAGTTTACTTGTTAAAAAAATATTATTTGAGTAGTAAACATAACAGTCACTAAAAGATTCTCTATTATTTTATTTGTTTTCCTCCTTATGTGATGTATAACGCAGAATCAAAATTCAAAATTTAACTTAATATTTTACTCCCCCTTTTTTTAAAAGAAGAATCACACAACTATTTTTTTTTCTGCCAATTCCAAGTAATAATATTTTTTTTCTTTTTGTTCCATTTTTTTAATTTAATCGTAACATTTTTTTTTAAATTTAATTTCATAAATACTAAATTTATTATTTTTACTTAAAATTTAACAAATTCCTAGACTGGTTTTGAAGCGTTACAAAGAGAGAGACGTGTGAGATAGAAGAGCAGAAGACTCCCTCTCCTACATAGGGACGACTTCTTCAAGCATAGCTGGAGCCGGAGAATCCGCAGCAAGAAATCAGCGTCAAAAACCGTAATCCAAGACGGAAGAGACAAAGCCAGCACCTATAAATTGAGGGAGATGCTGCGAAGAAAACACCACCATCATCAACAGAGTAAATCAAGGCTACAAACAAAGGGTATGAACCCTAGGGGGGTTCGGATCTTGGATCCGTAACCCCTTCGTTCCCGTCTTCTTCCCAATTTTCTTTTTACGTTTTTGTTGAATCTGTTTTCTTTACTTTTCAGACTTAATTCAGGGTTGTTATAATTTGTTGAGAATTTTGAGTACAATTAGAGAATTAGTTGTTTTGATTATCGCCAAGAGTTTTAAACTTTCATCAATTCTAATGTTGAAATCAAAGTTTGGTTGCTAATGAATGTTCGTGCTGTCACTTGGTGGAGTTATTCTTTACTACATTTAGTGCTGAATTTTAGCATTCTGGGTAGTAAACTCTACCTGCACGGTCATCCCTTAGCAATACAAAGAAAAAGACTTCGAAATTTTGTCTACAAGGTGATCAAGTCAGTGGGTTAATCAAAAAGCATACTTAATACTCCGTAATTTAAATTCATCATTCAAAATGTCACCTATTCTGATTAATTGACAACCTGAAGTATAGGTATAAAATTGAGCAACTTCTAAGAACAATTGTGTAATTATTCAATTATAAGGAATAAACTTAAAATCACAAATTATTTAGAGTATTCGTGTGAATTTTTCTCTTTTAAAATTAGACAAATACAAAATTTATTTTTAAAACATTCCAAAAAGAAAAACAGGAAAATCACAGACACGAGGCAATGTACAAGCAAAGTATCAAATTCATCTTTTTCGCAATTGAAGTTGTAGTAACTCTTACAGTCGAGATTTGTAAGTCACTTTTTAATTTCACCAAAATTTTAGGAATTTAAGTAAAAAAATAAAAATAAAAATATAAAACTTAAAATTAGCATGTCCTTTGATGATGACAAATTGGCAATAATTCTAACTGCTCATTAAGGGGTACTATATTTTTCCAATCATTCATGACAATGTTTTTAGCAAAAATATGGTAAGCAGACAATAAAACTCACACGCTTAAGAAGAAATGGACAACAAAACCCACAAGGAGGGAGTATAACATATAAAGGCAATAAGAATAAATAGGTATTGCAGATATGAAGCAGTACACATTGAATTCAAAAAAAAAACATTGAGCTACACTCATTCGTATTTGAGCTGTTCTATTTGCCTAAAGATAAAGCATGTTGCAAATGAAGTCAAGAACCAAATGTTGCAAAAAAAAAAAAAACGAAAAAGTAAATATCTCGAAAACATTGGGCAGGAAGTTAAGTACATCTAAGATCTGAATTCTCTTAACCAACATTAGCATCTCTAGATCTTAAATCAAAAGGAAATCTCTCTTTACTCACCATGGTTTAAGAACATGCGAGAAAAATCCGCCAAAAGAATGTGGCAAAGTAATTTTGTCGCTCAATCCTCATAATCAGCTGAATGTTCCAGTAGATAGTTTGCTGCCAACTCTTCATTGCGGTCACAAGCTAAAAATGCCTCAATTACAAGAGCTCTATCAAAGCCCAAGCCCTCGAGCTGGTAAGATCAAATAGTTTGTGTTCAATGATCGTTACTTTCCTCGTACACATAATTATTATGTTATATAAGAGTGTAACAGACAAAGATGCCGTTTTGCTTACCCTCCCAATTGCCTCCTGCTCTGCCGGTGTAACACTGACAGTATGGGGCATATCCTGATCGGGCTGATCATCAAATATGTCACTGCAAGAAATTTAAAATATATATGTTAACAATCAGAAAAATTAGCTAATAATATAAATAAACACTGGCTAACAGAAATGCTTGGATCTGAAATACAATGAAGAAACTCACAATCAGAAAGTTAATTGAGCAGGTGCAACATTAGCCAACAGAAATCTTAGCTAATAATATAAATATATACGAGTATAACATTTCTAAAAAAGATACAAAAGAAAGCAAATGAAGAGGACTGGGGGCACACCCTTCTGGACCATCAACAGGCTCATTGATTAACTGGAGGAACTCTTGATGGTGGTCCTGTATTGTTCTTAAAAGATTAGGATTTTGCTTTCCTAGCTCCTGAAGCATAGGCTGCAAAAAACACGGCTTATAATGTCAGAATATATAAAGCAGACAAAGAAACACATCAAAGAGAAAATAACATCAATGACCTGAAGGATTTGCGGATTAGATTGAACCATTGTACGCAATGCTTGGAACTGAAATACAGAGAAGACACTCTCAATAACATCTTTAGAATCAAGTAAGATATACATTTAGGAATCTGCGGATTTGACCTGTTGGCTATTCCTGAGGAAATCAAGGGATCCAAGACCAGCAACAGCAGCTCCAGAAACCTGCTCCTATAAAATTCACAAGATATTCCGTCTAATATTTGTATGAGACAATGCACACCCTATAGACTATATATGAGAAAGGATAGAAAACTACAATACACCTGTGGGAACATATTCAATGGAGACGCATTAGGGCCTCCTATAACAGGGATAGCATTCACTGCACCTTGAGCTGTGGCAGGAAGACCACTCTGAGCCACTGGTAGAGCAACTTCAGCTGTTTCTGGAATTCCCTATAAAAAATGCCTGATGAATAAATACTAATAAAAGTTTGCGCTGTGAGAAAAGGTTCTATAAAAGGGACAAATAGCATACTGAATATAAGTAGTCAATAGCTCTTTCCGGGTTGTTGTAAGCAGCGCGTAGTGCTCGTGTAACCGTTTCCTTGTCCCAGTTTCCACCACCCACATCCATAAGTTGTTGGATTATCTCCTCAAGATTACCACCAGCCACTAAATTTGAAGCAGCTTGACTATAACTATCAAGGGGAACAGTGCAACAAGAGAATCTCATTTGAAGTAAACCATATTGTCAATAAATTGAATCACCGACTTGGCACGAAATCCTAGAAGAAGCAAAAAAGAGTAGAGAAAAAGAAAACAATCATATAATGATATGGATGAGTAGTATGTACCTAGCTGTTGCAGCATCAGAAGCAGATTTTACACTCTTGGGGGGGACACTACAAAGGTAAAATTCATAGTGAAAATTAGCAGTGGTCAAAAGTAGCAAACTGGTAATGAAAACTGACGTGTGTTTAAACTCACACTTCTGAAGGAGGGACGACAGGTGCTGTAGTAGTATTAGAAGCTGGAGCACCAGTAGCGGAAGGCTGTTAAAAGAACAGGAGATGGGATGCAGTGGTGAGGAAAGGGGGCGGTATATCAAACATGAGTACATGGCACACCACATAGGGTAACAATGTCTAAGGCCCAGTATACGTTCAACGCACCTGAGCACAAGATGTCCCACTTGACCCAACAGTTTTGCTCTGCATAATAAAACATTCAAAGGGATATTGATCTAACAATTCAACATCTGATTCTAAATTATACACCAATCTTTGAAGACACAAATATTATGATGCTCCTAATACAAGAATTTCTGAGGGTTGTGAGGATAAAATCACTTGCACAGTAGTTGCAGCAACAACACAACAGGATATATAAACAATTTACCTTGCTAAGCATGACAACAAGAAATCCATCTTCACTAACATTGTTTTCAGTCAGTGTGCTCTCATCTTTCAATACTTTACCGTTATGAATAAGCAACTGCTGACCACATGGATAGCTGTCTTTTCCCTGTGCATCTTCAATGTTTTTCTTTACTGCCATAATCTAAGATTTTAATAAAAAGATTAACAGTAAATTTAAAAGGCATTTTGTAAACATTAAATTTAAAAGTTTCCCACCTCATTGAAGAACAACCAATACAGTTACTAACAAGGCCTCTCTGGCCAGGATATTATGTTTTTTGAAGTCACGCATCTCTCACTGATAGTCTTATGCACCAAGTATTTCAAAGGGTTTTCAACAAATGAATACCTACTCCCCGTCCCAATTTTTTTAAAAACAAAACTCAAAACCCATCAAAGCAACAATATTCATATCTATGTGCTTCAAGTCCTTAATTGGCATATTTTACTAACATGATACACTAATGGATGTATTTATTTTCCTGATCTTTCTGTTGATTCCTCATGAACCCCACATGTGCTGGGTGTTCCCCTACACTGACAGTCCTAAGCTTAGATAAACAAGGGGGTTGAGTTAGAAACTTTGTTATATCTATTGATATGTGGTGATGATTGGGATCCTATCACAGGTCAATGGGATCGAAGCTGAATGGTTTTCATTGGAGGATTGAAGGTGGATGCTGCCATACCAATGGAGATGAAGGTGATGCCGTATTTATAATGTAAATAAATAGAAGGATTATGAGATGTTGGGCTCTCCAACAAGTCCCTTTGGTTCAATTTTAGGAGAATTTTCTGACTCGTATTTTAATCCATGCCAACCTTCTCTTAATAGAAAGAGACGATATTATAAAAAATCGAAGAGAAAGAACGGTCCATGCAAACTGCCCAGTCCATGATAATATGCAATACTGCTGCTAGTCCTATAACTAAAGCTAACTAAAAACTCACATCATTCACACACAAATTCAATTACAAAAATGATAATAATTAAATAATAATAATAATAATAATTAACAGAAATCATTCGACTCGGGAGTTCTAACCAAGCTTATCCTCAAGTTGAAGGAAAAATGTGCTTCCTTTTGCTTAATGTGGAAACTAATAACCTCGTGAGAACCCAGGTTTTTCAATACCACCAGAATTCATGAGATCATTAACTTCTAGTTCCCCGAGCTCGGCATAAAAACATGCTTACTGCTATAACTTATAACCCAAAGACAAGAGTGCATGTCTTCACATAGTTATCACAAACACACTTGCTCGTCTTTCAGCCAATTCACTTTTTATTAGTCTCTTTATGGGGACCTAAGTCACACCGAGACGAGGACAGAGACTTATACGGGGAAGGGGTCAGAAGCGTGAAACACCAATATTTCATAAATTATAAAGGATTTGGGTTGGGGACGCCCCAAGTACCCGACCGTGGATGTTTCAGGGACGAGAAGCGTCACTTATTTGAAGAATCCGTGCAACATAGATGGGGACTATGTGAATTGTACCCACCTTGAGCGATAGGAATTTGGCATTGTCATGGGGAAACTAGTAGTTATGATTGTGTGAGTACTACAAGAACCACGATGTTGCCTCTCAAATAGGTAACAGGTGTCATGGAGGTGTTGCACTAAATTGTTATTACATTTCCTTTGAGACTTCACATCCATGCGAAGCAGGTTGTTCAGGCTTATGGTGTACAAATCCACCAATTGATCTTCAAGCACAGTAGTGGTTGCTCTCGTGAGATGAGTTTGTAATCTTTCATTATAAGATTAGATACAGCAAAAAACCCGGTATAATCCCACAGGTCCGGGGATGGTGTGTGTACGCAGACCTTACCTTTACTAAAAGAAGATGTTGTTTCCAAGAGACTCTTAGTTCAAGGCAAGCATCAGAGACTCAGAGGGGTGCCGAGACCAACCATGCAGACACAAGAGCACGAACGAAGTGGGAGCAAAGTCACCAAGGGCATTTCCCGCAAAATGGGTGCCGAAATGTAATTGAAAATAATATTTCTAGCAGTACCAAGATAAAATAGGCTCCCTCGTCTCTAAGTTATAGGACCACAGCTTCCCAGCCCAAGCCACATTGTCCTCTGGAATGAGAATGCATGTTTTCTCTCTTATTGGTCTTTCATTCGCTTCAAGAACAGAACAAGAGGGTCCACTCAAAGCTTTTGGAGAGAAAAAAAATGTTGGAACATTTTCCAGAGTTCGGGCTGATCTTGCATTGTGTGAATGCTGGCCTAGAGAGTTTGAATTTTTCTCCGTGACAATGTTGAGAGATTCAAAGAGGTTTGATTCGCCCCGGACGATTGGCTCGGATACCAAACTGATATATTCCAGAATGGGGGTCACATTATGGGTCAATGTGATGGAGGAAACTAAATAGTTTTCATTACAAGGGTGAGTAAAGAAGCTAGTTTAGGAAAAGATAATATAATTAATGGAATCAGACTGGAAACTTGGAATATTGTGTGTTTTAACGGGAAAGCATACGAAGGTTGTGGATACTATAATTAAAAGAAATATTAATAGACTATTTTTACAAGAAAAATATACATTGGCATGATGTTTTGTTCTCGGACATAATTGTGCATTACAGGGCAATGACCAATGGTGCACCAGTGTGACAGAGTGAAGGAAGAGCTTGGGAAGGGTTAATTATTGAACCCTAACTACCTCTTAAAAAAATTATTTTTAATGCTACCTTCCTACTAGAAGATACAACTCATCAAAAAACGTCTAGTAATCCAAAGGGAACACCTTTGGAAACGAATACAGTTCTTTAGGAAACCAAATAGTAATAGGAAACTGAATCTGAATAAGATACTACTACTAATATTAATAATAATGATTTTTCGATGATTATAATACATACGTTGGGGGTACTTGCCACAAATAATATGTACTCCCTCCTAACAGAAATTTTCTTCCTGCTATTCTTTTTAGACCGTACAAAATTTTTACTTATTTCCTTATTTGACTAACTATTTTGTGTTAAATTTCCTATTTACCCTTACACTCAATTTCCTACCCACCCCCATTTACTCCCACCCAAGTCTCAGATCAACCCTAGGCCTAATCTCTTCTCTTCTTCTAGATCTAATCTCTTCATCTCCTTGAACTCCCTCCGCTGCCGCTCAAATGGTTGGTTCAGCATCTCTTTCTCTAAGTTTGGTTCAACGGTCAGAAGCTTATATAAACTTTTCCTCTATTTGAGTTGCAATAACAATTCTTCTCTTTGAATTGCAGCAAATATTCTCCAACAGAAGAGGCCAGACCAGCGATGGCAGAAGAGGACCCCAGAACTGCCAGAAGTGATAACAGAGATGGTCTACGCTGTACTTCATCGACCAGCGACCAGCAATGGTAGCTCCGGCGTTCCAGCATTTCCAACAACCAACAATGGCGTTCCAGCATTTCTGGCTACCAGCAGCAGCGACAACAGTTGCAGAAAAGGCATCAACAACCCTTTTGTGAAGAATAATGTGGGAGGACAATTTAGGAAAGTCAATGAAGATTTTAACATGTCTAAAAAATGTGGCAGATCAACTTGGGAAGAAATTTTTTGGAAGGGGTGGGTACTAATTTTTTGGCTAAGGAGTTGGACACTTCAGGCTTAAGTTGAGGTATGCAGGAAAGGTGAAGAACAGAAATGGAGTTGGTATTTATGTGGAAAAACAATGAAAGAAGGATGTGGTCGAGTGGGAGAACGGATCATTGCATTAAAGATGGTAGTAGAAGGGCAGGCTCTTCATGTGGTTAGTGCCTACGCAACAGAAGTCGGTTCCGAGGAACATCACAAGAGATAAGGTTTTGGGAAGACCGGGAAAGTGTAATACAAGGTATACCATTAGAAGATAACATTTTCTTGGGAAGAGATTTAAACGGACACGTGGGAAAGGATTGAAGTGGGTATGAACAAATCCACGGAGGGCATGGCTTTGGAGTAGCGAACGCAGATGGTAAAATCATCTTAGGCTTCTCTTTTGACCTTCTAACTTCTTATTGCAAACACTTGTTTTCAGAAGCTAGACGAGCATCTTTTTTTATAAGAGTGGATTCTCTCATATTGATTCCTTTTTGCTAAGGAAATCAGATAAAAAATTGTGTACTAATTGCAAAATTATTCCCGGAGAGAGTTTGACCACCCACCATAGAGTGCTCATTATGGATTTTCATGTTTAACAAAGGTGACGCCAAGAGAGGAACACAAGGACTAGATGGTGGCAGTTGAAAGGTGATGAGCAAAGGGATTTCCAACACCGTTTTGTAGAAAAAGCAAAATGGGATGGACATGGAACTGCAGAAGAGTTATGGTGTGATATGGCGGATACAATAAGAAAGGTGGCAAAAGAAACCCTTAGAGAAACTAAAGGCACTAATGCAACAGACAAAGAATCATGGTGGTGGGACACTAGCATGCAAGAGAAGGTAAAGGTAAAGCAGGAACGTTTCAAGGAGTGGTCTTTATGCCGTAACATGGAAAGTTGGGAACGGTATAAGACGGCTAAGATGGAGACAAAAGTGGTTGTAAGTGAAACAAAAATGAGAGCATATGAAGGGTTTTGCAAGTCATTGGGTACGAAAGAAGGAGAAAGATGTAATTACAAGATTGCAAAGGGTCGAGAAAGAAGAATGTGGAATTTGGACCAAGTTAAGTGCATTAAAGACAAGAATGGTGCTAATACTATTTCTCATTTGTTAGCTTTGGTCGCTTATGTGCAAGCTAACATTGTATTGGGACTCGATCCCTCTTGATTTTGTTTCAGCCATCAAACTTTCCACTCAAAAATAATAATAAGAAGATTGGCGATGTTCTAGTCTCCGATGAAAAAGCATAAACGAGCGGTGGAAGAGCTACTTCAATGATTTGTTTAATGAGGGGCATGTGAATCTCTCATGCTCTGATCAACTACACATGAGGGAGGAGGACCAAACTTCAATTATTATCGGAAAATTCGAGAAACTGTAGATAAGAAGCCTTAAAACGGACGAAGAATAATTGTAGAGCAATAGGCCCGGACAACATCGCGATTGAAATTTGGAAAGGTTTAGGAGGAAAAGGCATTTGGTGGCTAACTAAGCTTTTAACGAGATTCTAAGATCTAAGAAGATGCCTAACGAATAGACGAAGGTCATTTTGGTCCCTATTTTAAAAAAATAAGGGGGATATTCAAGGTTGTGGATATTCAAGCTCATGAGGCATACAATGAAGTTGTGGGAAAGAGTGGTTGAACGGAGGTTGAGACAAGAGACCAGAGACTTTAGTATCAGAGAACGAATTTGGTTTTATGCCAAAATGATCAAGTAGCTAATTACTTGGTGAGGACAATGATAGGGAGAAACCGAAATGAGAAGAAAGATTTACACATGGCTTTTATTGATTTGGAAAAGGCATATGGCAGGGTAGAACGAGAAGTATTGTGAAGGGTTTTAGAGAAAAAAGGAGTAAGGAATGCGAATATTCGTGCGATTAAGAACATGTACGGTGGTGCTACAAAGACTGTGAGAAGTCAAAGTGGGGTAATAGGGGAATTCCCCATTGGTGTAGGATTACACCAAGGGTCAATGTTAAACCCATAATTTTTACACTAGTATTGGGCATTCTTACCGAGCATATCCAAGAACGCGTACCATGGTGCATGCTTTTTGACAATGACATCATCCTTATGGGAAAATCACGAGAAGATTTGAATGGGAGGTTAGATTCATGGAGAGAGGCTTTAGAGTTGCATGGTTTGCGCATAAGTCGCACTAAAACATCGTATATGGAGTGCAAGTTTTACAAAAAAAGGTGAAATAGTAAACAAAGGTGAAAGTCAGAGAAAATACTATACCACAAGTAAAGATCTCTAAATATCTTTGGTGTATGCTGCATTAGTGTACAATCCAGATTCTCAATTGTCAATTGAAGAATCCTAAAACCCTAGTTCTTAAGAGATTAGAGCCAGAGATATGGAGGGGGAGAGAAGATCGCAGCCCGTCTGCGTCCAAGAAGCCCTTACTCTTCTCAACTGCGCCACCGAGACTCCTTATAATACTGATAAATGCGCTCGTCAGCCTCGTCTCCTCCAAGAACTTCGCCAATGCGTCCTCAGCAAGTATTTAGAGTTGAAGTGGCAGAAAGTATTGCACTGAGATTGCCTTATGAAAGTGAAGAAGTTTTCACTTGTGGAACCGAATGATGGAAAGTCAGATGCACTGAGTGGGAAGATGCCTTAAGCTTTGTTGTGCATCTCCTACCGTCTATGGTTTGATATTCTGCAATATAATGTTTGAAATTGATTCGTATGTGGTGGGGGCTTGACTATAAAAACCAGGTGTGGTCATAAATCATAATATCTTGTAACAAAAAAAATATCTTTGGTGTATCATTTAAGACAATTGAGAAAGAGAGGATGATGTTAACCACAAGATTCAAGCCAGTTGGTCAAAATAGCGGAGTGCTTCGTGATTTATATGTGACAAAAAAAGATCCTTTAAAACTAAAGGAAAAATTTTACCGTACTACGATTAGACCAGCTATATTTTATTGTATGTAACAGAGTGCTCAGTAGCAAAGGGTGAACATGAAGACAAGGTTAGTGTGGCAGAAATGAAGATGCTTCGTTGGATAAGTGGTCATGCGCATATGGATAAAATAAGGAATGAAGATATGAGAGCTAAAGTTGGAGTTACACTTATTGTAGAAAGGATGGTGGAAACTCGTCTAGGGTGGTTTGGACATGTGAAGAGATGACCAATAGAGCATGCGGTGAGAATGGTTGATCAAATGGTGAATAGACATGTGGCTAGAGGAAGAGGTAGACCTAAGAAGACTTAGCAAGAAGTGGTCAAGGGGGACCTTTGCATGAAACAGGAACAGATATGATACATCATAGGGCGCAATGGCGTCGTTTGATCCATGTAGCCGACCCCACCTAGATAAGGCTATGCTGTTCTTTGTTTGTTCTTAGCCCCTACATGAACGGTATTTTCTAATAGCCTACTACTTTCGAGTTACGATGGAGTGGACTTACTGGAAGGCAAACGTGTCACAACAATAGACAACAAAAAACTAATTTCACTTTAAGGACGAACCTTTCACATATGTTTGAGATAAAGAGAGATCAAGATTTAGGGTACTTAGAGCACAACAAGGTTTACCGTGATGTAAAATTAGATTTCCATCCACACATGTATTTTGTTGTGTTACAACGGCTTTTCGCTGAGTCCACTCATCGAAACTTGGTGGTAGCATGCTACCAACAAAATACCATTGAAGTAGATAATGGTAGTGGCCAAGAAACTAATATGTATTATTCATTTACTTGTGCTCAGTACCCTTAAAGTACATACATTTATCATCCCAAAATCCAAATATTAATAATAATACTCCGTCCGTCCCAAGATGTTTTGCACTTTGCGCAAAACAAGGCAAAATTCAAGTTCTTTTAAAATCATTTTATGTAAAGATTGGCCTAGAAATAAAAGATGAAACTTACAGATTTAAGACTACGTCAAAAGTTCTACAAAACAAGAGGTGAAAAGAATATTTTATTTTATCAAATAACCAATGAAAATGCACAAATAAACAAAAGTTATCATGAATTTGGAATAGTGCAGAGTGCAATTCTTTTTGGGACGGAGGAGTAATTGTTGTTGTTGTTGTTGTTGTTGTCCTCCGTCCCCCATAGATCTTCCCATTAGCCTTTTTTATTTGTCCCACATAGATCATCTCATTACCTTTTTAACATTTAAAATACCACAACTACCTCCACTTACTTTATTTATTACACCTTTTCCACCTTATTTAATACACCCCACCCATTTTCATTAAGGGTATTTTGGTAAACTTTTGCCTTTTTTCAACTCTCCTTAAAAACTACAAAAAGTCAAAACGAGAAGATCTTAAAGGGACGGAGGGAGTAATAAACTACTACTACCAATAATAAAAATATTTAGAGAGAATGTAGAACTAGCCCTCATTAGTGACAAGATGAGAAAGGATAGTCTGTTTAGCCATAACGTCTAGTGGAAGCACCTGTTAGAAGAGTGTGTGTGAATCTGTGTGTGCACGCAGATGTAGAAATGTTATTTATGAATTATGATAGGTAGAGAATATGTCGCTCAATCAAGACAAATGGTGTCACTTGATCCTTGTAGAAGACTCGATCTAGTACGCAACAACTTGTCTTGGCTTGGTTTAGTTTTGTTGATCCTCATGCCTACTAGATAAGGTGGACACATATAACACAAAACACATATGTTATCATTTGTCCAGTTAGAAGATGATGCCTTGGCCATGAGCATTAAGAGGTTATCATTCCAAAATAAACAGCTACTTGCTACGTATTTGATAACCAAATGTACTTTAACTGTTTTTAGTGTCATGATAAAGTCATAATAAAGTTATACTGTAAGTATTAACTTCTTTGACAACATAAAGACCTAAGAGAAGCAGATAACAGCCCCACACAATATGCAGCGAAGTATCATAGCTTCTATGAATAGTGTAGGGAAAAAATCAAAGGCAAACAATAGGACGAGGACACATGCAAATTTATTTGATCACTTCTAATAATGTACTCGTAATTTCCAATACCCACTGTTTGTTTAAACATAACAGAGCACCAGATTTTTAATTCTCCACCATTTCCCATGGAAAGTTGCATTTTCGTATGAGCGAGTAATTTGACCATTGTTTCATGTTTTTTTTAAACCCATTGATGCATCTATGCAACTTCGTGGGACTTTACTGGGTTTGTTGTTGTTGTTGTAATGCATCTATGCAGCTGCAATTTTCACTTATAGATTGTTGTTAATCAATGGCTCTTGTGTAAAAGAAAAACACATAACGCATTCCAGCAGACATTCCAAAAGCTATCTAAACCAGCGAATTTCATTGAACCAGAGCTCACGAAGTAGAAGTCCAAAGTTAACGGATTTTAAATCGAAATTAGGGAGAAAATATAGATTTGTAAGCAAAACACAAGTATATAAATGCATGATAGAAGGACTAACTGTGTCGGAGGGCTGAACCCTAATGTCAAAGTGACTGCCCTTCAAAGTTTTGACAGTAAGCTTCATCTCGGCCGAACGACGGTAAAACGGCCGGAAAAGCAAACCCTTATTTTCGGAGAAGAATTGCAAATGTCGCCCCGCCTCAAGCAGATCGGGAAGTAAATTGTCCGTGTATGAAAAGGAAGAAAAGGGGAGATTTGCCTCTACTTATTCAACAAAAAAATAGCTTATCTCGCTTTCAGTTCAATTTATTTTTTCTACTTATTATTTATTCTAATTAAAATCAAACTAGATCAGATCAATTCAATTAGATCAAACCATATCTACTTCTAAAAAAAATGATCAAACCATATCTAATCATACCAAATCTAAATAAAAATTAATAATATTATTTTTATTACTCCCTCCGTCCAGAAATAAAGTTTACGTTTCTCCTTTTTCTCCATCCGAAAATAAAGTTTACATTTCTAATTTAACCCACACTCTTCCAAAAATACCCTCCACCTTTTTCTAATTCACATCTATCCACTCCCATTCTCTTATCTGCCCCTTCCTCCTCCTCATTTACTCCACCCGTATCTGACTCTTCCTCTCCTCAATTAATTCTTCGCCTCTTCTTCTCCTCATTTACAGATCTATATCTGTATACATTTTCTCAGTTCATCCATCTCTTCAATGGAATTCGATGATTATCTATATGAATCATGCATTCCAGAAACCCAATTTGTAGATGTCGCCTACGTCTACAGCTTTGACGACAAGGAGGAGGACGAGGTAATCATTCTCGAGAATAACGAGAAGGTTGCCGATGTTGCCCCGGTCAAAGCGAAAGAGGTAATCGACCTTACCTCTGAAAGCGACTCTGTTATTCATTTGGAGAGCGAGGAGGTTGAGGTCATAGTTCTTGAAACTGATTCTGATGGCACAGAGGGATCTGATATCACTCCAATTTAGAATTCTTCCCAGATCTGCTCATGCATGCACCTCCACATTGATATGTTGAACATCTTACTTCCCGACCCTAATTTTTGGGCTCCGAAGTACAAGTAGGGAAGTACTTTTACATCCTTTGTCTGCATTCCTTTCGTTATGTGATGAGTTATTGTGCCTGCGCAATATTTGATGCTGTGATTGTATCATAATGTGATGTTTTTCCCAATCTATGATGACTAGAGTTATTCTACCTGGTCTGAGAAAGGATTATGTGCTGTGATGAGCAATTGATGAACTGTGGATGTTTTTGAGTACTTATTCTGTGTTCTTATTTTCTGTGAATACTGGATTTAAGTACTGTGATGAAGGATTATGGGCTTTTTCTGAGTACTTATAATCTGTTAGTATTTCCTGAAGATATGAAGACATTAATTACTATAAATAAATATCCTAGGAATAGAAAAATGCACTATGATGAACACTTAGCCATGTGTGGGTGTTTCTGAGTACCTTATATGTGTTCTAAGTTTCCTTAAGTTCAGCAATGATGATGTGGTATAAAGTAAACAAAGGTAAGGTATGCTGGATGTTGTAAATACATATAGAGCAGGTTGTGTAGTTGCCTTGTTCTGAGTACATATATACAAAGGTTCAAGCACTTGCAAAAAACAAAAAAAAATTAACCCCCCAAGCATTCACTCTCTCTTCCTCTCCCCTTCATTCGGCCAGACCAACAGCAAGGAGGACCTCCGGCGAAGCTCCGGCGGGTGCAAGGTTGAAGGAGAGGAAGGGCGAGGGTATTCGTGCGAAGCGTAGTCGTCGTTCGTCCGTTCGTTAGCACCATTCGTTCATCTCGTTCCATCAACCCCTTCATTTAGAGGTGAATAGTTGTCCCTCTAATTCTAGAACATTTAGTTATAATCTATGTCGTTATATTCATAGGAATATCGTACGCAACCTACGTAGAATCTATGCATGTTCGTAGGTTAACCATCCAACATACGTGTGTCCATGTTATCAAGTTGTGTACTCGTTAACATAAATGTTTTGAAACCTTGCAAGTTCATCGGTTAATTACCATGGAAATATAAACATTCGTTTCTAATACTTCCAACGTTTTGATGACAAACAAACAGATAAAATGGAAGTCAGCGTGCCTTGATAATCGAGTTACAGGATAGTACAATTGACTATCAGGCCATGCTGGACTCCTCAGTTGATTCAGCACAGTGTGATAATCGATTATCACACGGGTGATAATCGACTATCAGGCCCTGCGGATTCTTGGGTCTGAGTTGGCTTCACTGATAATCGATTATCACATAGACAAATAATCGATTATCAGGGCTCTCTGAACTTAGAACTTCCCGAACAAACCAACTTGACAATCGATTGTCACAGGGTGACAATCGACTATCACAGTCTGCAGGACTTTGGGGACAGAATCTGCACAGCATGATAATCGATTATCAACAGTAGACAATCGATTATCAGCCAGTTCTGAACCCAAGGCCATCATGTTGAACAAATCGTAATCAAACACATATGTATGCGTGGAATTTAACTTCCTCCCTCAATCAATGCATTCATTTCATCATGTTCGTCCTAGATGCATGTCCTAGGTTCGTCATCATGTGCATACCGCTGTAGGGAGGTCAGGCTTTCGTGTGCCTACTACAGTGGGCCCGTCCAGGAACCTTTGGGGACCAACGGGTTTTCATCATGTTGGGCTTGTGTACGTACATAGTAGTCAGGCTACGGCTACTACCCGGTCTTTACTAGTCCACTTGCGACATTTCCGTCGAGCCCGGCTCATTACCGGAGTGCAGGGGTGATCCTGTCAAGTGAGACTAAGTCAGGGGTGTCCCTAATAGTTTAAGTCATGCATCAAGTCATATCGTCATCATGTATGTTCCATGTCACGTCAACATTCAATGTGGTTGTCATCATCATGTATGTTCCCCATCATATCCATACTCAATGTGGTTGTTAATCATTTTGTTATGTGGAATAATATCCATCAAGTGCAAATTAATCAGTTAGTAAACATGTGGTATTTCGTACGTTAAGTACAGGTATTAATATGTGTATAGCCATATGGGTTATCATTAAATGTTCTTTTGTTTCACTCCTCAGCTTTTGTTGAGCGTGTAGTTGTTTTTGCTACACGCAGGTAGACATGACGGTGCAGGTGCCAACCCTGGAGGACAGTGATGGTGGGAGGATGGGCGGCGCACGGACGAGTTTTAATAATTATAATCATTTGAACTAATTAATCATTTGGGCATGAACCCACCATTTGTTTTTTTTACTCATTTATTTACTTCTCCTTTTACTCTGCATTTATGCCACACACGTTTTGCAAATAACTTCCTATCATTTATTTCATCAATTAAACTCAACCGTTACATAATAAATAGACATTAATGCGTTTTTCTCTACGGACGGTTCTCGGACCGCCCATGTAACCCTACCGGTCCGTCGGGTTGCGGGTGAACCGGGTCTACGGAAGGCGGGTGTTACACCCAGCCCTTTCCAGTCTGCCTTTGCCCATAATCTGTAGTTTATAATTGTTTCCTCCTTCTTTTTCCATGATTGTAGCCATGACCTGCTGATAACTTAACCAAACTTTATTTAAAGTTTCTGGATTTAGAGCATTATAAGCTCCTTGAACTGCCTCTAACAATTCCTCAACTGTGTTTGGAGCACACTGTTCTTTTAAGGACTGGATGGCTTTGAAAAACCCCAGATCAAGGACATTTAAATCTGGGGAGTTGGGGGTTGGTTACCTAGGGTAATGTGGAAACAATTACTGTTTCCTGCAGCTACAAATTCTGAGTCTAAACCTTGAATGTGTGGCCTAGCATTATCCTGTTGAATATGAATGTTCTTTGATAAATTTCTAGGCCACTTCTCTTGGATAGCTGGAATTACTTTATTTATAAGCATGTCTTTTGTGACTTGTTTGGTAACTGCCTTGATTGGTTTGACTTCCAAGACCCCTTTAGCCCTGGCTTGTTCTTGCTCCTTCTTTTGGCTTCAATAGTTTCAGTAAAATGAAAAATGCCAATTTTTCCATCCCAAAGAACAACTCCAGTATCATCAATAAGTGGTCTACCAACCACACACAAGAACATGACTTTTGTAATGAACCTTTTTGATTTGCATGTCCTTGACGAAAGAGTTTTAGCGGTAGTAAATTTCACTCTAAAAGAGATCGATTTATTCCCGTGTCGTATTCACGTGGATTGGTGTTAAAAAAAAATTTCTATTAAAATCTAGTTAGGCAAAGTTTTACTCATTGGTTTTCAAAGCCTTCTAAATTCGAAAAGTGTTTGTGGGTTGGATTTGAAACTGAGTTGGACAGAGTAATAAAATAATTGTTTGATAAAAAGGGAATATGAATTGATTTCCGGTAGTAGGAATTTTTCAGATATTTTAACTAGTTGGATTATTAAATTAACTAATTAATTTAGCTAGTGAGTAATTCTGTCACAATAACTCCATTAATTTTATCATATCTCTAGGCATTATTAATGTGCTAGAATTGATTGACTAAATTATTTTTCTCATTCATTGACAAATGGACGTAATAATTTTTTCAAACATTAACTAATAAATTGGCCAGATTAATTAATTAGAACATACAACAATTACTAGCAACTTAACATTTTAATTAATTAAATTCAATATTCCAACATAATTATTTTTCTTACATTCCTACTACCCTAATTTCAATTCACATTCCTAATATGTTTAAAAAGACATAGTAATAATAAAAAGTGCACAAATTGAATAACAAAACATGGTTATAATATTAATTAAAGAAACTTACAACTTCCAGAAAAGCGGAATTGGAACAGACATGGAACTGAAACTTCTAAAATAACTAAAACTATACTAATGAGGGCTTCAATCGCCACTTGAGAGAGAGAGAGAAAACGAGAGAACTGTTTGTGATTGATGATGGAAGAGGACTGGACGACGCTGCCTTATATAGGCATAGAAATCTCCGGGGGGGGCAGTGGGGCGGCCGCCCAGCAGGTCGCCCTAGAGGGAATATCCGAATATTCCTTCGCTACTTGATGCCAGTTGCCAATATCACGCGTTTGAATTCCGGGGCTGGATCTGGGGCGGTCGCCCGACAGGTCGCCCCGCACACGATTGAAATTATCCCTGCAAAATATCCGCCACTTGCTTATATCTGTCATTTGGATCCCGGGGCTGGGTCCGGGGCGGTCGCCCAGCAGGTCGCCCGGCCCAACCTAGGGATTTGGGCTTCGAATTTCTGTGGCAAGCTCCATATTTTGTGCTGAACATTTCTCTTCTCTTCAGGAGTTATGGACGAAATTGACTTTAAACATCTCAAATGTTTAATTTTCTTTCAAGTTTTACTCCGTTTGAACCAGTTTCTGTTTGAAAATTCCAAATTTGTTTTGAACACCCTTTTCTATAAACAAAATGACAACTTCAAGATATTTACGAAAGAAAATAAATATTTTTACTTTAATTAAATTTATTTACACACAAAAAACGTTTCAATATAAGTAAAATAATAAGTACAAAATGTACTTATCAAATTCCTCACACTTAAACGTTGCTTGCCCTCAAGCAACAAAGTGAATAACTAAAAGAACAAGGACAACTTAACATGTAACACCCTAATCCGTCCAGGTCTGCAGCCCCTTTCGGACTAAAGTATTAACTTGGTAATCGTAATAATTTAAAACTTTTCAAACACTTTTTATTTATCACAATAATATTTTTCATAATAGGTACAGTACAGAGTATTCAACAATATTGCGGAAGCGAATTTAATATTGACATATCATAAATCGTTTCAAACTTGTCACATCCATCCCGACAATCTCGCCCCATCTGCTGCCAGGATCACATTGGTCTTTCTATTTTACCTGCGTGTAGCAAATAAAACACACTACACGCTCAGCGGTAAAGCTGAGTAAGCATATCTAATGCATCGAACATCCATATAAACTGAATCTAAATTCATAATCAAATCATTTGATATCATGCACACAATGTTCATTTCAGACATTCATAGTTTTGATAATGTTCAGTTCATATCAACACATTTTATTCAATTCAAATATTATTCTGACAGTGCCCTTAAATTATTCTTAATCTAAGGCCAAATAATAACAACGCTCTTAGCTAATCTTAGTCTAAGGCCAGATTATAACGATGCTCTTAGCTNCTAGAGCTATCAGGTGGCTGAAGGGCTTTAAAAGAGGAGATGGTATTCTCAAAAAGGCAAGGAAGATTGCCTTAGCTTGCACGGTTTTCCACTTATGGAAACAGCGCAATGCCGTTTACTTTGATCATGAACCTCTATATGTTGAGACTATGGTTTTTAAAATCAAGGTTATGGTCTTTTCCATTTTGGGGAGATTATGGCCTCTACGTACTTTTCCCTTCTGATGTTGTTGTATTTGCTATTTGTTGGCCTGTGCGCCCTTGTTTTGAACTGATTACTTGTTTACGTTTGAACTTGGTGATGTTGCCATTTGTTTCTTTGGATTTGGTTTTACCATTTCCCAGCTCGGGTATGCTCGTTCTATTTGTATATCCTATTCTTTAATCTATTTACATTTTATCGGAGAGGAAGCTTTTTATTTCTTCTTTCTTTATTGATGAACTTTTAGACAAGCTAGCGTTTGCTAAAGCTTTTCCGGGTCCTGGGGCTAATTATGACGAGTTTGTAAATCCCGGGGGATTAGATTTAGAATTGCATTTGTAATATTACTTTATGTAAATTCAGTTGAATTTGTGTTGGAATAATATTGTCTATGAACGTTATGAGTTAACCATAAATATTATTCTAAGCTGCATGGCCAGTGCAAGTCAAAAAAATATTTATTTTCAACGTCAGAATGCATCATGTAAATATCAAACATTTTCTTCAAGATGAAAGATTTTATTATACAAAGTGTTCAACACACGAAGATTCAAACAGTTACGAATATTCTTGGGATACAAATCGAAAGATAATTTCTTGTTTACATAAGGTTTCTACATTATCAATATATCCTCGAGCCCTTGTAGCGCCTTAGGATCTTCACAGAGTATCATCATTGGGTTGGATTCTTTGAATTGTTTCGTGTTTTAGAACGTTGACTTGTTCCTGAGCGAACAGGTTGATTTTGGACAGAAGTAACTGAATATGATTTAGGGTTAGAAGGACATTCTTGTTGGAAATGTCCAGGTTTACCACAACTTAGACATAATCCTTGCGCACGCCAGCAATCTCCTGGATGGTGTCTTTTACAAACGTTACACTTTGGATGTTTCCATACTCTCATTTTGTTCATGGATGACCTCGATTGAATTGTCATTGATTTTCCCCTTTTTGAGTATAAGGCACTATCAATTTCTTGCAGAGGTCTCTTCCCACTTGTATTTGGTTGTTCATTTAAATTGACAATCTCAGTCTTCATACTTTCATAGTAATCACTTAGATCCTTGTCAGCTTTAGAGATTAGGTCGTATGCCTCAATGAAATCCAGAGTTTGAATAGTAGATACGTGCGGCCTGAGATCAGGTCGAAGTCTTTTGCGAAACTCCTCAATGCGGTCGGCCGCTGTGCTCACCAGTGTGGGTGCAAATCGAGCAAGATGGACAAATTTTTGTCGGTATTCAGGAATTGTCATATCTCCTTGCTTCAATTGAATAAATTCAGCACGCTTTTCTTCACGGAATCGGGCTGGGATATATTCTTTCTTGAACGCCCAATCGAAGAATTCCCAAGTCCACGGTTTGGGTGTGTTTGGATTTTCGTCAGTGCGTTTCCACCATTCATAGGCTTCCTTGCGGAGCAATTGAGATGCAAATTTTGGATGATCAGCAAGAGGTATGTTCAAATTTTGCAGTACACGAGCGGTCTGTTCGATCCATTCAAGAGCGATCTCGGGTTCGGCAATTCGATCTCCGAGGAATTCCTCAGCTCCATTATCTTTCAAGGTTTTAAATGTGATCAAACGAAGTGGGGGTGGAGGTGGTTGAAACATAGGGGCATGAGTCATTTGTTGCAAGAAGTTTACCATTAAGGTAGGTAGCATAGCATCAGGTTGACCTCCGACATTTTGATCATTTTGGGGAATATGTTGTGAGTTCACTTGTTCAGTTTGAATAGGAGGTGTGAAACTGGATGCTTCAGTATGAACATTTTCCTGCCCATCGCTTAGCACTTGGTTACTTTGATTGTGAGCGGTTTCTTGACTCATTCTATAATAATAGAAATTCCTTCGTTAGGATTCTTTGACTTGAATAGACGAGTTGACAACATATATTTATTCTATCAAACTACATCGGTGTTTAAGTCACTAATCGTGTCATAGCAATGCGTCACCTCATTCAACAAGATTGAGCTATCCTTAGCTTCTAACAAGTAGGTTCCTTTGAATTTGACCAAACAAATCGTCAATTCATAGCAAAAGGGTAGCGATTCTTGATCGTCAGTTTGTGTGTCTTAACAGAGATATGATAGTATCGTTGACCGTAAGTCAATCTTAGAGAACACAATGGATTCTCTAAGCTGATCAAATAAGTCATAGATACGAGATAAGGATAACGATTTCATTCGATAGTAATTGATATGGAGTTTAATCGATCCATCTTTGTTTGCATACTCAATCGAGATGAATTCGGTCGGTTTAATAATCAGCTTTGCTTTCACCTATATGAGGTTAACATCATTGGTCTTCAATTGAGGAGTTCTTCATCACAAGTTGTCAATAGCAACGGCGTTCAGCCAATTCATATTAAGGATAATGTCAATTTCCTTGTAGGGTATTCCGACAAGATTTTGTATGGAATTTTCGATTAATGAATGATTTCGATTCACACAATATAATCACATATTGTGCTGTAATGAATTAGACATCAGAATGGGATACAGAGTTTATTGATCCTAAACGTTCTCGTTTAAATCAGCAATCCGATCGTCTTCAGTCCATATGAGGATCTTTGACAATAGCTTTGCGGATGTTATTCAACATTAGACGTTTCTTCATAGTCGTGTCACTTTCGTACGTCCTTTCGATGGAGATCAATTTCGTTACTCGCGATGCGGTGCGTACGTTGATAACGTATTAGAGGTCATTTTTTTTTATTCTTTCGTCTCTTCACCGAGTACGAAAATTCAACTTGAGTCTATGCTCGATACGATTTCAGTACTAGCAAATGTTATCTAATGAGAATTCAATATAGTCAATATTTACTAAGTAAATTCTCATACCTTTCCTGGAGCAGAGGGATGCGAGAGTCGTGGATGTGACCAACATTTTTTTAAAAATCAAATTTTGATCCGAAGATCGGTTTTAAAACCATTTGCTCTGATACCAAATTGTAACACCCTAATCCGTCCAGGTCTGCAGCCCCTTTCGGACTAAAGTATTAACTTGGTAATCGTAATAATTTAAAACTTTTTAAACACTTTTTATTTATCACAATAATATTTTTCATAATAGGTACAGTACAGAGTATTCAACAATATTGCGGAAGCGAATTTAATATTGACATATCATAAATCATTTCAAACTTGTCACATCCATCCCGACAATCTCGCCCCATCTGCTGCCAGGATCACATTGGTCTTTCTATTTTACCTGCGTGTAGCAAATAAAACACACTACACGCTCAGCGGTAAAGCTGAGTAAGCATATCTAATGCATCGAACATCCATATAAACTGAATCTAAATTCATAATCAAATCATTTGATATCATGCACACAATGTTCATTTCAGACATTCATAGTTTTGATAATGTTCA